AAAGCCATGTCTTGAGGGCGCGGCGGAAAGTAAGGAGATCCGGAATCATCCGGATCTCGGGGGGTAGTTCGTTCCAGAGGGTGGGGGCACCCACAGAGAAGGCCCTCCCCCTGGGGGTCGCCAGCCGACACTGTTTGGCCGACGGCACCCTGAGGAGACCCACTCTGTGGGAGCGTACCGGTCTGTGGGAGGGAATCTGTGGCAGAAGGCGGTCTCGGAGATATCCAGGTCCGATGCCATGGAGCGCTTTAAAGGTGGTAACTAACACAACTTTGATGACTTGTGGACTTCAACTCCCAGAATGCCTCAGCCAGCGTGCCTGGCTGAGGCATTTTGGGAGTTGAAGTCCAGGGGGGGTCTTCAAACTTGGCCCTTTGATGACTTGTGGACTTCAACTCCCAGAATTCCTCAGCCAGGCACATCATAATCATAATCATAATCATAATCATCATCATCATCATCAAATTATCAATATCTATACGTGATGGCAGAACATTTCAGGGAAATTATGTATAAATTACTTCCTCTCATTGGTTCTGAATCTCCCACGATGAACTCTGATGGACAAATGCTTTATGTTCTACCACAGCAAGGAAAGGAAAACTATCTGTCCATTTTCCACACTGCTTTTCTGCCTTGGCTGCACGCGTAGCCTTTTGTTCTTCGTCTCCAAAGGGCCTCAGATGCTTAGCAAGCTGGGTGGCCTCCACGCAGACGCAGCTTGGGGAGCCCAGCCCAAGATTTGTGAGGGTTCAAATTGACTTCAAGGGTGGACTGCAAGGGTCGGTGGACCCCATCCTGGCCTCTACTCACTGTCAACGCTGCTAACATCGGACGTTCTTGCTTTGACAACATATGGAGATGCAGCCTTTTTCTCTCTTATGCTTTACTCTTACGAGTTAGATGATACTGGGGGAGGGGGAGGAATGTGATGGGAGTTAAGTTAGACATAACAATATTGTAATAGTGTGTGAATTCAGGGCTTTTGAAATAAGAGATGATAAGGAATGGCAGGGCTGGAGAACCGGAGGGAAGGCCTGCATTTCAAGCTAATTGGAGAATGTGATTTATTTTATGTTCTATTCATATCAACCTGATGCCTGATTTTAATATTGCTAATCAAGTTGATACCTGATTTTACCTAATTGAATAATATTAACATCAACTTTTGATACCTCTGTTGATCAGATACATTCTGCTAGCTCTCCAGAAAAATAGCTGTCTAATTAGCTGCACATTAAGGAGTCTGCTCTGATGTCTGTATAAGAACAGCCCAAGCGACCCTTTGAATGGAAATATTGAAACCGCCGCCTGCCTGTCCATCATGTGGATTGTCAACGCGGCTAACATCGGATGCTCCTGCTTTGACAACATATGGAGATGCAGCCTTTTTCTCTCTTATGCTTTACTCTTACGAGTTAGATGATACTGGGGGGGGGGGGGAAGGAATGTGATGGGAATTAGTTAGACATAACAATATTGTAATAGTGTGTGAATTCAGGGCTTTTGAAATACGAGATGATAAGGAATGGTGGGCTGGAGAACCGGAGGGAAGGCCTGCATTTCAAGCTAATTGGAGAATGTGATTTATGACTGTGAACTGGAGGAGGGAATTGTGCTTTGATACAATGTGCTCAGGGGGGGAGGGGAATTCAGATTTTGGCTTCGATTGTGTTAGTGACAATGCCTCGAAGTTCTTTGAAGAGTTTCATCTGTCGGAACCAGGACACTCACCTTCCTCATCGCTGCTGCTGTCTGACCGGGGTGGTTTGATCCGACGCCTTTTCTTCTTCAAGCGTCCGGCTCCTTTCTCCTCCTCTTCCTCCTCCTCCTCCTCCATGTCTGCCCTCTTTGCTCTGGGAGAAAGAGAGATCAGCTTCGACAAAAAGGACAGAAAACGAAGAGTTTTGCCCAAGGCAAACAACTTAAAACAACTCATTTAGTGACCGTCTGAAGTTACGACGGCACTGGGGGAAAAAGAGACCGATGACCTTTGGGGGCACCACCGTCGCAGCATTCCCCAGAGTCCTGTGATCATAATCCGGATGCTCGGCAACTGGTTCGTATTTATGACAGTTGCAGTGGCCCGTGGTCCCGTGATCCCCCTTTTGCGACCAGAAAGCCAATGGGGGAAAAGTCAGACTCGCTTAATGACCGTGTTATTAATTTAACACCTGCAGGGATTGGCTGAACGACTGTGGCAAGAGAGGTCGTAAAATGGGGCAAAGCGCGCTTAACAAACGTCCCGTTTAGCGACACCGGCATACGTGGTGCGATGAATCGCGCGAATGACTGAAGCGGGCCAACCCTTTGCAGCCTTGTCACCGAGAAAAACGCAAACCCACTACCTTCTCTTCTCCCTCGGCTGCCCTCTGGCCGGCTCGGCCTCCTTGCTGGGCTTCTCATGAGAAGGAGGAGACTTTGAGTCCGTGGAAGGAACGGCTGGCTTGGCCACGGATCGCTCCTCCTTCTGTTGCTCCGGCTCAGGACTGGCTTTGCCTGCACCTGAAAGGAGAAGATGGGAAAGCTAACAGAACAGAACAGAATTACAGAATAGAATAGAATTACAGAACAGAATTACAGAATAGAATAGAACAGAATTACAGAATAGAATTACAGAATAGAATTACAGAATAGAATAGAATTACAGAATAGAACAGAATAGAATTATAGAATAGAATTACAGAACAGAATTACAGAATAGAATTACAGAATTGAATTACAGAATAGAATAGAATAGAATTACAGAACAGAACAGAATAGAATTATAAAATAGAATTACAGAATAAAACAGAATAGAATAGAATTACAGGATAGAATTATAGAATAGAATTACAGAATAAAACATAATAGAATAGAATTACAGAATAGTAGAATAGAATTACAGAATAGAATAGAATTACAGAATAGAACTGAATAGAATTACAGATTAGAATAGAATTACAGAATAGAACAAAATTACAGAACAGAATTACAGAATAGAATAGAATAGAATCTGGAAGGGACCTTAAGAGATCTTCTAGTCCAGCCCGCTGCTCAAGTAGGAGAACCTATACCATCTCAGACAAGTGACTGTCTAGCCTCTTCTTAAAAATCTCCAGTGATGAACCACCCACCACTTCTAGTAGCAAGTTGTTCCACTGGTTAATTGTCCTCCCTGTCAGGAAATTCCTCCTTAGTTCTAGGTTGCTTCTCTCCTTGATGAGTTTCCATCCGTTGCTTCTTGTCCTGCCTTCAGGCACTTTGGAGAACAGCTTGACTCCCCCTTCTTTGGGGCAGCCCCTGAGAAACTGGAACCCTGCTATCCTGTCCCCCCCCCCCCCCCCCCCCCCCCCCCCCCCCCCCCCCCCCCCCCCCCCCGTCCTTGTCTTCAACTGCAGCAATTTAATTCAACGGGGCAAGAAAAGTCATAAAATGGGGGCAAAACTCCACAGATTTCTTACACAGCGACATAAATGTTGACCTCAGTTCTGGTCCTAAGTTGACTACCTGTATTTATGACGTTTGCAGTGTCCTGGGTGTGTGTGTGTGCGTGCGTGCGTGTGTCATGTGATCCCCTTTTGCAACTTTCCGACATGCCAAGTCAAAGGAGAAGTCTTACTATCAACAACCAGAATAGAATAGAATAGAATTACAGAATAGAATTACAGAATAGAATTACGGAATAGAATAGAATATTACTATCTTAACAATTGCAACGATTTGCTTAACAAATGTGGCGGGAAAGGTCGTAAAACGGGACAAAACTCACTTAACAACGGTCTTGCTTAGCAACAGAACACGCAGGCTCCATGGTGGTCGTACGGTGAGGACTGCCTAGTACTTACAACGGAAAATAAAGAGAGCAGCTTACCCTCTTTGCTAATGGCAGCTTTCCCAAAGAAGTTATTCAGCGTATTTCCTTTCGCTGGGGCTTTGCTGTTGGTCGTTGAAGCCTAAAAGTAATTAAAAGAAACAATTATAAAAGAGGTAACAATAAAATCCATTAAAAATGCTGCGATGGGCTATGAGCTGCTACCCAGGCAGGCCTTGACTTATGACTGCCAAGCAGCCCAAAATTCCCGTCGTTAAGTGAGACACTTACGTGAGTTTTGTCCCATTTTACGATCTTTTGGCCTCCGTTGTTACGGGGATCGCTGCAGTTGATCAGTTAGTTAAGTGATTTGTTAAGGGAATCACATTGCAACCGTCGTAAATGTGAGACAAGTCGGCAAGCGTCCGAATTTTGATCCTGTGACCGTTGAGGAGGCCACAAAGGTCTCAACTGCGGGAAAACGGTCGTAAGTCCCTTTTTTCAGTGCTTTGAACGGTCGCGAAATGAACCGTCGTGAGTCGAGGACCGCCAGTGTAAAGCCTAAATGTTGTTGCTATGGAGACCCGGATTCAAATCCCGCCTTCAACCATGACGGAAAGGCTGATTTCGAGACCGTCCCACCTCTCAAGGACGTCGCTCGAACGGGACTTGGAAAAAACGTAAGTTAAAGACGACCTGTTTGCTATAGAAGCGTCGGTAGTCCTTGACTTACGGCCACAATTGAGCTCGAAATTTCCGCTGCTCACTGAAACATTTGTGAAGTGAACTTGGCCCCGTTTTACGACCTTCCTCGCCACAGTCACTAAGCGAATCGCCGCTGTGGCTGAGTCACACAGTCATTAAGTGAATCCGGCTTCCCCCCATTGACTTTGCTCGTCGGAAGGTCACAAAAGGGGATCACGTGATGCTGTGACCGTCATAAGCATGAGTCAGTCGCCAAATGGCTCAATTTTGATCGTGTGACAGACACACACACACCCAGGATGCCGCGACCGTCACAAACGCGAGTCAGTCGCCGAGCCTCCGAATTTTGATCACGTGACCCCGGAGGGGCCGCGACAGCCGTTAAGGCTGAAAAAACGGCCGCAAGTCCCTTTTTCCAGGGCCGTTGTAACTTGGAACCATCGCAAGTCGAGGACTTGCCTGTATTTTCTCTAGATTCCGGGTTTTCAAACCGTGGTGGCTTGAAGGTGCCAGCTCCCAGAATTCCCCAGCCAGCCCTGGTCCTTCTGCAAAGTACTGAAGCAGGAAAACCTACCCCGGGGGTCTCTTTGACGTCCAGGTGAGCCTCCTTGTGGCCATTCTTGGGTCTGGGGGCTGGTTTGGCCGCAAACATTCCCAGGATGCCTTTCGCTGGCTGGGTGGGCTGCTTGGACGACGTGCCTGGTGCCTGGCCGTTGAGCACGGGCGCGTCCGGCCCCTTTGTGGTGGGGGGAGGCTGGGGGGGGCCCTGGGCAGGGGTCTCGGCCTGGGAGTCTTCGGCGACAGGCCTGGGGACGGCGGCAGCACAGCAAATGGCACTGAATCTAGCAAGATAAGATAAGATTAGATAAGAAAAGAAAAGATAGGATAAGAAGATAGGATAAGATAGGATAAGATAGGATAGGATAAGAAGATAAGATGATAGGATAAGATAGGATAGTATAGGATAGGGTAAGATAAGAAAATAAGATAAGAAGATAGGATAAGATAGGATAGAATAGGATAGGATAGGATAAGATAAGAAGATAAGAAGATAGATTGGAGAAGATGGATAGATTATATTCAGAATAAATATGGGACTAAAAAGTTCCATTTGGTTTTTGAGTAAATTTTAGAGTATTATTATTGCTAATATTTCATAATAGTTTAATTTTTCTGTTATTTTTAATTATTACTATGATATTATTATTTGTTTATTATTGTGTTTAATTTTAATTTACTTAAATTTATGTAAAAAGGGAGTTAAAGTGTTTTATACATTTGGTAATTTAATAGTTGGTTAATGTTATTTATGATTATTATTTGTTAACCCTGTGAATAGCTCTGGGAAGTGGGGGGGGGGGTTGGGGGTGGGATGGGGGAAAATATTGTAACCTTTATAAAACTTTTAATAAAAAAAAAGAAGATAGGATAAGATAGGATAGAATACAATAGGATAAGAAAATAAGATAAGAGGATAAGATAGGATAGAATAGGATAGGATAAGAAGATAAGATAAGAAGATATGATAAGAAGAAAAGATAAGAAGATAGGATAAGATAGGATAAGCTAAGATAACCTTTATTGTCATTTTTTTTACTGTGGGCACAACGGCACACATCAAAAATGAAATTTAGTGGCCCGCTCTCAAAGTGAAACACATAGATGACACACACCTAAACATACTATGTACAACATGTGTACCAATCCATTTCCTTGGCAGCTGGACTAAATATCATTCCAGATAGTCCTCCGCTTACGACCACCTCTGAGCCCGAATTTCCCATTGTTAAGGGAGACGTTTCAGTGAATTTTGCCCAGTTTTACAACCTTACCACGGTTGTTAAGTGAATCACTGCACTTGTTAAGTCGGCCACACGGTTGTTATTTGAGTCTGGCCTCCCCCCACTGAATTTGCTGGTCAGGAGGTCGCAAAAGGGGATCCAGCTGACCCCGGGAGACTGGGACGGTCATAAGCGTGAGCCAGTCGCCAAGCGTCCAAATTCTGAGCACAGGACCGGAGGGAATGGTGAAACGGTCATAAGGGTGAGAAAAGGGTCGTAAGTCCCTTTTTCCCCTGTATCGTTGTAGCTTGGAATGGTCACTAAATGAGCTGTTGTTAAGTCGAGGACTGCCTGTCAAGTTGGCAGCCACATTGCTGCTGTCAGGAATTAAGGAGAAGCTTCCTGACAGTAAGGACAATCAACCAGCTTACCACCAGAAATCCTGGGCGCTCCATCACTGGAGGCTTTTAAGAAGAGACTGGACAGTCACTTGTCTAAGATGGTAGAGGGTCTCCTGCTTCTATTCTGTATTTCTATTGTGTATTTCTATTGTGTATTTCTATTCTATTCTATTCTTCTATTCTATTCTTCTATTCTATTCTATTCTTCTATTCTATTCTATTCCATTCCATATATTCTATTCTATTCTCTACTTCTATTTCTATTCTATTCTTACCTCCATTCCATTCCATATATTCTATTCTATTCTCTATTTCCTATTCTATTCTATTTTATATTTTTCTATTCTATTCTGTATTTCTATTCTGTATTTCTATTCTATTCTATTCTATTCTTCTATTCTATTCTATTCTTCTATTCTATTCTATTCCATATATTCTATTCTATTCTATTCTCTACTTCTACTTCTATTTCTATTCTATTCTTACCTCCATTCCATTCCATATATTCTATTCTATTCTATATTTCCTATTCTATTATATTTCCTATTCTATTCTGTTCTATTCTCTATTTCCTATTCTATTCTGTTCTATTCTATTCTCTATTTCCTATTCTGTATTTCTATTCTATTCTATTCTCTATTTCCTATTCTATTCTATTTTATATTTTTCTATTCTATTCTGTATTTCTATTCTGTATTTCTATTCTATTCTATTCTAAGAGGAAAAGGACTGACAGCCTGCGCCTGTCTTCAACAATGGAGACAGGGCGGAAAACATCCTGCAGCCAAGAAGGCTCCACACCCATTTACACCACTCAAGTGACCCTCAGGACACAGGTAAAGCTCCAAGTGGCCTCAACGACCCTCTAAAAAGGATGCAAACAACCAGCTGTCTGCAAGGAGTATAAATCCTTCCACTCCCCACCATCCAGAGCTGAAGAAGCTTCTTTGGATGAGAAGCGAAACGCCTTCAAAGAAATAAACAAGAAAGTCCAGTTGCCTCGTGAAAAAAGCACCTTTGGGATAACCAGGACCTGGAATGACGGAGAATCTCCCTAGAAAACTAAGTTCCCTTCCTGCATTGCCACCCCCGGTGCTGCTTCCCCCCCCCCCCCCGGGGTTACTCATGTCAGGCTGTCACGCTTNTGCCCCCCCCGGTGCTGCTTCCCCCCCCCCCCCCGGGGTTACTCATGTCAGGCTGTCACGCTTGCGACGCGTGGCTTAGCCGAATGTCAGCCACGACACCCTGGCCAAGAGCCAACTCACTTGCTGCAGTTCTGGAGATTGGTCTTGAGGATGTCGTAGTCGGTGTTGAAGAGAGGGCTGCTGTCCCTGAGCAGGGCCTTCTGGATGCTGTAGACGTGGACGCTGGCCACCGTGGAGAGCTTGGCTTTCATGGCTGGAAAAGGAGGCAGAAGATAATATAAAAAGGATTATATATTTGTAAAGAACTTAATAGTATTTTGAAAGATTCAAAATATTTGATAAACTTAAGATTGGGATTCTATTTTACTTTTCCAGCTGTGAAGAAGGAAGTATTGACTTAAGATTTTTTTTTTTGAAAGTATTGACTTGAGAGGGAAGAAAGTGAAGGAAAAATTTAAGTGTAAAATGTAAGAAAAAAATTTATATAAAGCTTAAATGTTGAAGGTGGATAGATTATATTTAGAGAAAGTATGGAGTGGATAAATATCATATAGTTTTTTGAGTAGATTTATTGTTTTTACTTATTGCTTTATTAGAGTTAAAGTAGGTATATATTGATTGTATTATGTTTGTTTAGTTAAATTGTAATTTAGATATGGAATGGGATGTGTTTCAATCCTGTATTTGGTTCCGGGAAGTCTAGGGGGGGAAGGGGATTAGGGGAATTATAAAAATTGATGTATTTACATGTTATAGGTAAACAAGAATTGTATTGATAAGAGGAGATGCTCGGCTGGTATACCAAATTGCACTCGAGGAGGTGGTTGGAAAGGAGATGGGATGTAGGTAGGTGGAAAGGAGGAAGGAGGAGAGGTTGTGGGCTAGAGGGAGGAAGGACAGGAAAGTGGATGAGGGTGGAGGCAAGGCGGGGACTGCCGAGCGTTTCTGACAATGTATTGACTTGGATTATTTTTGTTTTCTCTGCTTGTGTATGTAAATGCATCTTATTGTTATTTGTTGTTTAATTATAAAAATCAATAAAATTTTATTTAAAAAAAGAAAAAAAAGAAAAGGAGGCAGAAGGCACGTGAAGACAGGAGGGAAGCTTCCCAAAACAAGTGGGGGAAACGGGGTGATCCCCCTCTCACCTCAGCCCACCTCACAGGGGGGGAAAATGCAACAAAAAAAAAAATACAAAATTTTTTACGTATTTTTCAAAGATGATTTTTGAAGTTTTGTGCAAACTTACCTTCTAGTTTATCTTCTTTCACTACTGCAACCTTATGGTACTGGAAAGAAAAGGCAGCCTATTACTTCAGCAAATATTTGTTCCTGCCCAATATGTCAAGACCGAGGATTAATAGGTCAGGGTTGGCTGCCAGCCTGAGGATGCTCCTGCTGCCTTGTTAACCTCCCAGCCTTTGAATTTTAAACTAAATTAATAATAATAATAATAATAGTAGTAGTAGTAGTAGTAATAATAATAATAATAATAATGATGATGATGATGATGATGATGTTGGAAGGGACCTTGGAGATCATCTAGCCCAACCCCCTGCTCAGGCAGGATACCTATACCATTTCGGACAAATGGCTGTCCAGTCTCTTCTTAAAAACCTCCAGTGTTGGAGCATCCACAGGTTCTGGAGGCAGGTGGTTCCGCTGGTTAATTGTTCTCACTGCCAGGAAGTTTCTCCTTAGTTCTAGGTTGCTTCTCTCCTTGATTAGTTTGAATAGAATAGAATAGAGTTGGAAGGGAGCTTGGAGGTCATCTAGTCCAACCCCCTGCTCAGGCAGGATACCTATACCATTTCGGACAAATGGCTGTCCAGTCTCTTCTTAAAAACTTCCAGTGTTGGAGCAATCACCGCTTCTGGAGGCAGGTGGTTCCACTGGTTAATTGTTCTTACTGTCAGGAAGTTTCTCCTTAGTTCTAGGTTGCTTCTCTCCTTGATTAGTTTGAATAGAATAGAATAGAATAGAGTTGGAAGGGAGCTTGGAGGTCATCTAGTCCAACCCCCTGCTCAGGCCGGAAACCCTATACCATTTCAGACAAATGGCTGTCCAGTCTCTTCTTAAAGACTTCCAGTGTTGGAGCATTCACCGCTTCTGGAGGCAGGTGGTTCCACTGGTTAATTGTTCTCACCTTCAGAAAGTTTCTCCTTAGTTCTAGGTTGCTTCTCTCTTTGATTGGTTTCCATCTGTTCCTTCTTGTCCTGCCTTCCTTCAGGCGCCTTGGAAAATAGCTTGACTGCCTCTTCTTTGGGGCAGCCCCTGAGATACTGGAACACGGCTATCATGTCCCCCCTCGTCCTTCTCTTCATTAAACTAGACATCCCCAATTCCAGCAACCGTTCCTTCTATGCCAGTGGTGGCGAATCTATGGCACAGGTGCCAGAGGCATCACTCAGAGCCCTCTCTGTTGGCACGCGCCAACGCCACCAGCAGCAGGTCCATCAGGCCGCCACTGCCACCCGGAGCAGGAGCCCCGCCCAGCACAAAGGAGGCGAAGCAACCGACTAGCAAGCTCGAGTAGAGATGGTAGAGCAGAGGTCCCCAACCATGGTCGATTGGTGGACTGGAAGAAAAGGGAGGGGGAAGCATTTTACATGCGTGCATGGAGCCGTGAGCACACAGGTGCTGCAAATGGGGCGGGGCTAGTGCCTGCGTGATACTAACCCTGCCCCGTTCTTGCATGGTGCAGCGCCTTGTATCTGCACCCCACGGCACAGCCGTTTTTGCGCCTTGCAGCACGGCGGCCCATTTTTGCACCCCCCCGGTTTTTGTGTGTCAGAGGCGGCACTCAGAGGTGCCTCCCTGCCCCGCCCCCCCATGAGGGCACCACAATGCTGATGCGGCCCTGGCACTTTGCGATAAATAAGTGGGTTTTGGGTTGCGATTTGGGCACTCGATCTTTAAAAGGTTTGCCATCACTGACATAGGTCATCTGAATTACACGTTTTCTGGACCTGGGTAGAACTAATTCTCAGGGAAGCAATTTAAGCTTGCAATTCCAGGTTTAAACTGCCACTCCGGCTACCAAGTTTAAATCCAAATGTCGAATGCCAGAGAAAGTTCTGACTTACGGTGTGCCCGTTCTGAACGAGGTTCCCTGCCAGTAAATAGGTGACGTGCAACTGGGCCCCCGCGTTCTCCTTCCGCTTCCTCTCTATGTAATCGTATAACATTCTGTAAAAAAAAAGAGCGCAAAGACTAGAGGTTAAAATAGACAATTTTGGAATTTTTCAGTAACTGTCCCCTGAAAAACTAAACGGAGCACATGTCGTCCAAATTAAGCTGTGCTGCTATAAACAGCTATAAATGAAAAGCGGTTTGGTCAAGACAACAAGCTAGAAAGCAGGAAACAGTGAGTTCTAGTCCCACCTTAGGCACGAAAGACAGCTGGGTGACTTTGGGCCAATCACTAGGAGACGGTGAGTTCTAGTCCCACCTTAGGCATGAAAGCCAGCTGGGTGACTTTCCTCCAATCACCAGGAGACGGGGAGTTCTAGTCCCGCCTTAGGCATGAAAGCCAACTGGGTGACTTTGGGCCAATCACCAGGAGATGGTGAGTTCTAGTCCTGCCTTAGGCAAGAAAGCCAGTGGGTGATTTTGGGCCAATCACCAGGAGACAGTGAGTTCTAGTCCTGCCTTAGCCATGAAAACTGGCTGGGAGACTTTGGGCCAATCACCAGGAGACGGGGAGTTCTAGTCCTGCCTTAGGCATGAAAGCTGACTGGGTGATTTTGGGCCAATCACCAGGAGATGATGAGTTCTAGTCCCGCCTTAAGAAAGGAAAGCCAGCTGGGTAACTTTGGGCCAATCACCAGGAGACGGTGAGTTCTAGTCCCGCCTTAAGACAGGAAAGCCGGCTGGGTGACTTTGAGCCAATCACCAGAAGGCGGTGAGTTTTAGGCCCGCCTTAGGCATGAAAGCCGGCTGGGTGACTTTGGGCCAATCACCAGGAGACAGTGAGTTCTAGTCCTGCCTTAGGCATGAAAGGGAACTGGGTGACTTTGGGCCAATCACCAGGAGACGGTGAGTTCTAGTCCTGCCTTAGGCATGAAAGGGAACTGGGTGACTTTGGGCCAATCACCAGGAGATGGTGAGTTCTAGTCCCGCCTTAGGCATGAAAGCCGGCTGGGCGACTTTGATCCAAAAGGCCACATTTATGACAGTCACAGCATCCTGGGGTTGTGTGATCCCCTTTTTGCAACCTTCCGACAGTTGGAAAGCTAGATTCACGTAACAACTGTGTGACTAACTTAACAACTGCAGTGATTCCTAGCAAGTGTATCAAGAAAGGCTATAAAATGAGGCAAAACTTACTTAACAACAATCTCACTTAGCAAGAGCAGTTTTGCGCTCAATTGTCGTCATAAATCGAGGACTACTTGTATCAGAGATGAGTAGTAGTCTGGACTACTACCGTAAGTACAGACGAGAGAGATCAATACTTACTGCTTGGCCTGATTCACATGAACTCCCAAGGTAAAGCTCAGCCATTTATACGTTACCTGCAAAGCAACGCATATCACTATTTTAACCAAAACGCCAAAAGCCGCCACAGAATGAACCTCCATCGCTGCAATAATCCCGGAGTTGGGAAGAGTCCTGGAGTCCCCTAAGATGGACATCTCCAGCCTCTGCTTGAAGACAGAGCTGACACCTGTACAGGTAACTGATGCTACACATATTGTTTCTTCACAATGCAATTCTTCAGAATAGCTTGCTGGACCTCTGGGCTGACTTTTGGGGGAGCCACAAACCTCGGCTGGAGAAAGTGGGTTTGCAGACAAATATGTAGGTATAAATAAAATTACTATATACCGTATTTATCGGCGTATAACACGCACTTTTTCCCCCTGAAAATAGGGGGCAAATGATGTGTGCGTGTTATACGCCGATATACGGCCAGCCCGGGTAAATTCGGCCATATTCTTCAATACGGGCCGGCCCCAGCAGTTCCCCTCTCCTCTTTGTGTGTGTGTGTGTGTTTGTCTCTCTCTCTCTCTCAATTCTC